TTGATTGGTTAATTATCACGGGTGATCACATGTAGATCCATAAAAATTAGCCAATCATATGAATTTCTTCCTATGACATTTTCGGGTTGCATCATTTGGGTCGTCTGGTTTGAATTCCGGATAAACACATGATAATCCGGAGCACAACCTGGTACACATTTTCGATTTGCCAATTTTTATCAGGTGTTCCAGGAATTATGAAAATAGCAGTAATCATTTCGGTCAAAAAAACCTGGAGCTAACAACCTTTTTTTTTTTCATAGAGTTACTCCGATTGGCTGAAATTTAAAATCCATATTTCGCACAACGAATTTTCGGCAAAATTGTTACAGGAATCATTTCAATTAATTTCGATTAATCGAAATGATTGAGCAGCATCTCGATCATTTGCAAATTACATCGAGGGAGCTGCTTGAGAACAACCTAAATCTATTTCAATGCACAACATTGCTGTATTATTAATAAAAAATATTAATGCATCATTTGCATAAGGTAGTAATGGTCAAAAATGACTATTTAACTTTGGAGCGTAGCAGAGGACATTAAATAATCAGTAATGTGATATGGAAATTACTTTTTTGATGTACGTGCGTGCATACGTACGTACGTACTTGATCAATTCATAGCTTTACATCAAAAACGTAATTTTGAAAATTTTTGTCTGTTCAATGCATACGTATTTGTACAATACAATAATCTCATGTGACTTCCGTTTCCTAGTTATTTATCACGTTTGTTCTCCATAAACCACGTTGTTTATTTCTTTATTAGGAAATTGATCTACACATCGCAACCCCTAAAACAATCGACCAATAGGCTGCATTGTTTATCTGTAATACAATATATAGCCTAATTTTTCTTACGTTTTTGATCTTTACCTTTTCTTTTTTTTATTTTTTCGTTTATTTTTGTTGTATCCAAGCACTTTCACATAGGTTTGGAGAAGTTAGATCGTTTCGATGGTTCCGGTCTAACCGGGTGAATTATTGATCGGTCGTCCTATGTGATTACATTTTTAACTTCTTGTTTGTTAAGTGTCCTCTTTCACTTTACAAACTACCCCTTAAAGATCGTTTTTCTTTCTATCAGTTTTTAAAACTTTGCATTAAGGTTTGTCGATGATGTACACCTTTCAACGGATAGGGCCTCTGAACTTAGTAGTTTAAACTAAGCTCTAAGTTTCCCTACTTTGTTTATGCATAAAATTTCTTGAGAAAGGTTTTGAGAAGTCGCGAATCTTTCAAAGTTTTTCCCTATTACGGCCTATTTTCATTTGAAAATTAGTAGGGTTATATCGTAAGGAATACAATACGAAAGGTTTGTAATATATCCGAGTCTCATAGATTGTTTATTATTGGATCCGACGATCTAAGAGATGATGACAGTATATTGCACACCGAGTATTAGTAATATGTGAAAAGTTTTGTGATATAGACGAGTTTCATGGATCGTTTTTAAATGGGTCCGACGATCTAAGAGATGATGACAACACATTTCACACTTAGTAGCAATTTACGATATAACACTCTTTGTTTACCACTGATTCGCTATCAGAGGCCATAAAAATGCGAATCACTTTATCGATGACTGGTGCATCATCGATATCGTATTTTATCATTTCAAAATAAATGATTTGAAAAATAACCGAATACACATTTTTAAAATCGTTATTCCTTAATCCCTTTCTTTATAAAATTAGAATGTTTTTATTTCTGTTCCCAATTTAAACTCCTTTTGGGCCACAAATGCAAACCTCCTCGTGGTGTGGCCTGGACATTGAACGACTGTTTAATGACTAACTTGCATTATATAATTAATCCATACATTAACGATGAAAACCAAAAAATATTAAGATTAATTAAAATAAATAACTAGATTATGTTAGATCGTATACCATATTATTTTTAATAAAAAATTAAGTTGCATCGAATTAAAATATAAATTTAAAAAATATTATTTATTCATCGCGTATAATAGCTATGATAATAAAATAAATTTACAATTTTTATTATAACGCATCTGTATTTTGTATTGAAATAACCAGTTTTTTCTTTGCTACAAGTTTTCGATAACTTAAACCACATACGTATTAAAAAATTAATATCGAATATAAGTTTTTTATTAGCTAACACAAAGAAAACAAATTTTCAAAAATAAACGTTATTCTACCCAAAATTTCTCTGAAAAGTAAAAATCGGACCTTTTTTTAGGATTCTGTGCACTTATGCGGTGTGCAAATTGTACTAACACATATCTTATTAACGTTAATGAGAAAGTAAACGAGATCAAAAATGCGACAGGTTGAGATGATTATCCTACATTTTTTATTCATTAAAACATTATCAACAGAGTTACGGAATTCTTATTGTTTTGAAAAATTAGATAGCCTTTATAATCGTATTAAATCACAGAAATCACGAAATGAAATCACAAATTGAAATCACAAATTGCACAGAATTAGTAAAAAAAAATTTCACATGATTAATAAATCACGGAATGAAATCACAAATTGCACAGAATTAGTAAAAAAAAATTCACAGTAAATCACAGAATTTGTCGTCTTAACCACCGCAGAAAATCATCGTCACTAGTTTATTTAGGAATTTTGCTAGAATAGATTTTTTTTTTTCGTTTCATGTTATATCTAATTCGTGTCTACTTTTGTTTATGTAGTAGATCTTTTACACGTGATATATTCTATTACTGTTGTAATTTTGTTCCTGAAAATGGAGAATGATACACTCACGGTCTGTCAAAACAGATAATAATTCAATTGTCGCGAACCGGTTTGTCTTTTTTTTAATATTTATTTCATTTTTTTAGAAAATAATTGTGGAAGATGCTAAGCGGACTTTGGACGAACAGGTAAAACATCATGTACAATTTTAAATATTATTTTGCGTATTTCGTGTATTTTACATTAACATCGGCTTGTATGCGAAAAAGACAACATATCCTCAGAAAATAAACACGGAAATTCAGGAATGCACTTCTGAAATTAACGACTTAAGGTTCGAGTGTGAAAATCTGGAAAAAAAAAGATAAACTTTCTAAAGAACGCGAACTCTATGAGTCACAGGCCGTAATCGATCGTTAAAAGAAACGTGTAGATCGTATGTATTATTTATCAACTGATTACAATAAATATTTATTATATGTAAAAATGTATAGGTATCGTTCATCTATAATACTTTATTGCAAATTGTTGGATATTGAACTTCCGGATCCAAAAGATCAATTCATGGATTGAAATTGCAACAATTCTTGGCTTACTTTCTTTTCTTTTTAAAGCCGCCACGCCTCGTCAATTGTATCTGCGATAAATTAACCAATGTGATCTTAAATTTGTAATTTGATAATATCAATTTAAATTTATCAATAAATACCTGTTTATCTCTTAAACTCATTCGTTTTTTATTGATCATATTCTTCTTATGAATTACCATCATAAAAGCTTTATGCCTTGCTTTCTCTTTGTTCGTGGTGCTAGTGCCTTCAACCTTTTTCCCTTTTTTGGGTCCTCCGAACTTTTCTCGTCCCTCCCGTCCGGCCTTTATGGATTCTATACGTTCTTAATAATCCTGTTTGGCTTTTTTTCGTGGTCCAGTAATAAAATTGATATCAACTATATCCGGTAGTTCATCGTGTGTATTCTATTCAAAAAACGCGTCATATTAAATTAAATTATTTTTTACATGTAGTGTATTAAATTAGTTATTGCATACTTATACATACGCGTCACTTTTGCTTTTACCTCCATCTATTAATTGTTTAACTTCATGTTTCATTTTGAGTTCGTTCAGTTTGAAAAAATCTACTGGAGTCAAAAGTTGTTTTATTTAAAAAAAAAACAATCCCAATTATATATCATTAATACGTAAAATACGTAAAGCAACAAAAGAGACGGAAAAATCTATTCGTACTTGTGTTGTTACCAAGCTTGAAATCTTTTTATCTTTTGTAATCAACCCCTACATATCCTTCATTTTTTTCTTCATTGTCACATTCCTTATCATTTTCACTATCAGCTTTACCGTCTTCAACATCTTCAATTTCATCATCTCTATCGCCATCATTTTCATCAATCATTTTCATCATCGTCTTTATCATCTTCACTTCCATCATCGTCTTTATCATCTTCACTTTCATCATCGTCTTTATCATCTTTATCATCTTCATTTTCATCATCTGAATTATCATCTTCATTTTCATCATCTGAAACATCATTCCAATCTTCGTTTGATGAAGCATTCGAAGCTACTTCCCATCCTACCCATTCTTTGTAATATAGTATATATATATATATATTGAATATAAAGTTGATGCAAACTTTAAGAATATAATGATAATTATATACTACCTCCTGCATTTGTTGTTTCTTATATTCTTCTAATAATTCTATGCCTTCAATTTGTTCAGCTGTACGTGATATAAGATTCATTGTCATTAATTTGACTTCAAATCTATCATTATTTGACGATTTTTGAAGTGATGATAATTTTTCGCTGAATCCTAATCATATTAAATTCATATTAAATTTATTGTGAAAAAAATTTTTTCAAATTCAATTATAAAAATTTATGTTACTGAACCTTGAGGATCATTTAATAAATGTAATGTGGAAAAATTAAAATTTTCTTTTTTATTTTTTAGCCTCTCTTTTCTTGATAATTGACATTGCTTTGTCTAATTTTTTTAATTTGGATCTTTTTGTTTTATTAATAAGATTTATATATTGTAATCGTTTAATATCCGTAATATCCGGAATATCCTGTTATATAAAAAATATATAATTTACTTAGTATGAAATTTCACAGACAAAAAAATATACCGGTATATGTTAAAAAAAAAACTCTACATAATCATCGCTATCTTCATCTTGATTTTCATTATTTGATCCCAAAAAAAATTGAATTGCTGCAACCTTAATTTTTGTCACTGAGATATGTTAAAAATAAATTGTATATATTTTATATATCGATACAATTAATTTGTAAGAGATTTAAACTTAACATATTCCCTTTTTATATAATTCTATACACGCATCTAAACTTTTTTTTTGCAGCAACTACGTTTGTGCTGTCTGTTGTACTTTGCAAAATTGTGTACATAAAATTTTGTAAAGTTTTGTTTAATTTATTATTCTTGTGCTTGGAATTAGTATTTTTTTATATCTGAAATAATATATTATTTGTTGAGGAAGTGTACTTGTTTCTTGTGGATAGCATTGCGCAACCTGATTATGTTTTTTTTTTTAGTAAAAATGAATACATTTTTTTTTAACATTCGTTCTTCATGGAAGCCGACCTGTGAAATAAAAGTAACCAAATTTCCGAATTCTTCTACTTCTTCATCTGGTTTCAGCTGAAGAATGGTTAATTGAGACTCATAATGTCTATATTGTTGTAAAAAATCTTCTTTATATGAAAGTGGATCACGTTTGATAAGATTTTGTAGTTGTGGAATATTATTTGGTAATAAAGTTGACCGTTCGCGTTTGCCCATTATTTCTGAGAAGTTAGATAATAAATACAATTTATTTATTCAGTCAACAAACGAGTGATACGAATCGAAAAATCGATTAAATTTTTGATACAACTAATAAATTGGTTTAAGATTTTACAATTATATATAACGATAATTAACCAATCAAGTTAACTAAAACATGTGACAACCCAACTAGGCCGCAACGATTTACCTATTTTCGCGAGTAAACAAACCCAAAAAAGAGTTATTTCTTCCGTGATTACTGTATGTAAAAAAAAATTCTGTTACAAACTTTACGGACTACGTATTGTGGTGACACACAGTATGTGGTTTAAATAATTTGTAGTATTTGTAGTAAGGTTTAGATATTGGATTTTATTCGAATTCTCGTGATTTTTACTGTGACTTACTTTATGTAAAGTATCGGTCAAGTGTAAGCAGCACATATGAAATTATATCTTACAATATAACTAGTATTCTTTATTATAACTAGGAAACGGGAATCGTTGGAGTCCGGATCCTAGATATTTAAATATTTTTCCTATTAGATTTTATATCTTGGTTTGGGTTTTGAAATACTCTTTTTTGTAGCACCTATTTTAATTTTTAGTTTCATGTAAATTTTGACTCAATGAGGCCTATATAATATATATACTGTATATAGCTTGATAAATAAAAAAGTTTAATCAGTAAGTCATATATATCATATGATCTTGATAAAATATATTAAACAATTGCGTAATACAATAATAAAAATTGAAGAGGATTATTTTTTTTACGTCTTCAAAGTAGACTTTATATTACAGGGGTACACAGTCTAAATGGTAAAACCTTCACACAGATCTGGACATCAATACAGGGGCAACCGTGACAGGTCTGGACTGTAAAGTCTTCCACTCCGCTCCGGACAAAAATTGTATTTAAATATTAATGTTAGATAAAAATCATGTGTCTAAATTTTGTGCTGAAAACCTTAACGACTAAAATTTAGTTGCTATAGAAATTTATGTGTTTTTTTTGTGATTCTTGTTTTTTTTCGTCTTTATTTATTTATTTATTTATTTTATTATTATTATTATTATTTATTATTATTTTTACTTTGGGTTTGTAAGTTACACATTGATCTTACAATTAGATTGGGTAGTAATCACGGCACCGTCATTCGTACTGATTCATCGTGTGTATCTATATGTGTAGTACACTGTTTGACTAGATCTATATATATCGACAGGCCACGAGTGATGACAATTATCCGATTTATCCGCCGGTCATATGATTGAGCCACATTTATCACGATCTTTCGTGTTTCGTGTAATAAAAAAAGAATAAACGATTTTTATACATCCATATTCTAAATTTACAAGTAGTGATATCGTTCCATATTTAAAATAATAAAAGTTTATTTCACTTTGTGGTTAAAATAAGAAAGCGTTTCAAAATTTTCGTAAATGAGGAATTGTAAAAATTTTTACTATAAGTAAAGTCATAAGGGTCAACCCAATCTTCGAAGTGACCAATTTTCCACGGATACGCGATTTAGACTCCGAATTTATATTAATATATGACGGACTTTAGGACAATTTTCAACAGAGATTTAATTTAACCAATATTAGTTAACCGAAAAAAACTCCCAGGAATTTACCGACGTTACCGATTTAAATTTTTACGTGACAAAAATTACATGGATATTTGATTATTAAACAGCGGTTATTTTACCGTCTTTGCATCCCGACTGGCGGATGTATGTAAATGAGAACAGACAAAGCATTTTTTGATTTCATTTAGGAATTTTTAACAAAATAACCGTTATTTAAGCGGACAAACGGATTCAACAAAACATAAATTTCCTTCAACTTTGTACTTCTCACTTCAAGACAGACTACATCAAAACATATTATTATCACCTTAACTTGTTGTCAAGAAATGGTATGATAAAATGATACTATTACGCGTTACAAAATGAATCGCCGACTTATTATTGTACTCATCTTTTAATGATGAGGATGGTGTAAGAAAAAGAGCGGCTAAAGCATGCCTATTGTGTCGAAGTCTTAAAAACAAATGTGAAGGTGGAGTATGCGAGCAAAATTCATGCAAAAGATGTGATGATCGTAATATAAAATGCAGTTTTCTCGACACGGGTAAGATACTATAGATACACTTTAAAATTACGCTAGTTTCACAAACTTAGATGATTTTAACGTTAAGACGAACTTCTCGTGTAGAAAATTCCGTTCTTCACGAGGGGAATCATTATCCCTTTTCGGCTGTTATTTACGGTCCATATTTCATTTCTCAATTATGCTTTGCTTACCTATCACTTTTTTTGTAAGAGTGGTCTGACAGTTCATTATGATTGTAGGTCAACATAGACAACCATTATTTCAGATTGTTCTCGCTCCCTGGATGCTAAATTTTCTAGGTATAATTAACTTTGCTCTATGCGAGCTTTGTTGATTTATTATCTCTCATATGACTCAAGAAGCTCCAGCTTTTTTTTTTTTGCTTTTTCCAAAATTTATCAAATGATGATATAAATATCTATTATTTTTTAACCCAGTTCAAACGTCAAATAATTACCAAGGAGAAGTTTTCGAACGTCGTAATGAAACTACAGCAAGCCCACTAGATGACAGTACGTTTTGCTTTAATAAAATGTTTATATTCAAGTAGACTAGTCCTGTCAAAAAAATACTCGATCCCGTGATTTCCGAGCTATTGTCGTGTGACATCGAAATTAGTTAAAAATCAAGAATACTCTATCATATTATCTTCGAGATGCACAATTTAAAGTGAGATTTCAAAAGGCAAACCTTATTATTCGTGTTAGGTTAAATTAATTCTTAGCTCTCTTTAAAATTGCGTATCTCGAAATAACGCCCAGGGAAATGATACGGTAAGATATTATTACCGTAGTTCACTGCCTAAAATGCAATATCGCCCATACAAAAACCAGTTTTACCTAATTTTTGCATTATATATGTCGTAAGTGTGAACAGAATTTAAGTTGATTCGGAATTTTTAAGGTTAGGGTTGGGATTTTTAGTATAATTATTCCATTCTAATCTAAGTGGATTCCGAACTCTTATGATTCCGTTCCCACTCACAACATATATACCTGTCACCAACCAAGATACACACAGGTATTTTGTAAGTTTTTTGGTAGATATTTGTATTACACCAGGTCTTTTAGGCAATGTACTAAGATATACATACGTGAGAAAATACAAACTTTTTGATCGACTCCTGTGTTACGGGACGAGAACTTTCTATGCAGTTTATTTGTAGACGACCGGATGGAGGTTACTTCATTTCTTTTGGTCGTTTTTATGGACTCTCCTGTTGCATTATTCACCCATCCACGTACCCTATTTATGGATAAAATATATTTTATTTAACGTTTTGCATAATCGACTACATTGTGTTCGTCATTGTTTTGTATCATAATGCAATCCTATTTAATATCATGATTTTATTCTTAAACGCATGCGTCCTCCATAAATTATATTTAGTTTTTATGACGTATGAATATGTATGTATACTTACGTACGTGATTATGTTTATTACAGGCACACCACATCAAGCATTTCAAGCATTTCAACCATATCAAACATATCAAACGCATCAAGGTGTTCAGCCGCAATATGATGATGGTATGTATATTCAACACTCTCTATGTAAAATATCGTAAGATAGTTATGTAGGATGTACAGTACGTAGGTATTGCGAAAACACGTATTATTTTTTGCCCTTTTATTTTTACCTACCAACATCCTAATCTATGAATAATAGAGTTTATACAAAGTTGTCCATCTTTCACATATATGCGTTAAATTAGTCGCGTTTTTAATACGCGTGCAAGCTCTCTCTCAAATAGTTTTAAATTATAAACGTTTACTGAATAATAATAAAATTAACAGAATATTATTGTTTATTGTGTAGGCCTACATCAATACGACTTTAATTCGCAAGAGTGAAAATTTGGCATCAAATTTTTAGTGTCTCTTTTAATCTTTTCCTGTCTTCTATCTTGTAATAAATATGACAATTTCAGCGTATTTTTTAATTTTCTTCTATCTTGGAAAAAAATAAATATTATATGTTTTAATTCTGAAATTCATCAGAATAAATGTTTTATTCCTTTCGTTTTTTTTATTTGCTTTTATTTGCTTTATGACTATATTATGATATAATATGCAATGTATGATATTGTATTACCTTTGGTTAATTCGTGCAAAAAATTTGTTAAATTGTATGGTTAATTTGTGTAAAAATTTGTTAAATTGTATGGTTGGATTTCCTTTACTAGATGATTTTTAACGATAAAATGTATGTACGTGCATGTGTACATTATAATCATAACTACAAAAAAGGCAATAAGAATGCGATGCAAGTTGGCATTTATGCTACTTAAAAAAGTGAAATTATTCGGATCGCGTTTATATAGTTTGTCGGATGAGTGTGAATGTATACATTCTTCAGAAATATATTTGTAGATCTTTTTTTCAAAGTAACAATGAAAATTAGACAGTAATACTATCTATTTTAATTTATTTGCGTACTTTCATGCACACAAAAGTTACGCCTGTGAGTCATATTCCTATGAATTTATTGAGTTTTCTCCTTATAGGATTCCATTTCATGCCCTCCCAATGTGTTACGTACAGTATTTAGTTTTTAGGAGCTAAAAAAGCATTATCCGAAAATCTTTGGAATTAATCCTCTATGGAAAATGTTAGAAACAACGTACAAAATAGAATGTTGTTGCTCAGTGTAATTCATATGTAAATATTTAAAATTTACTTTTGTTATAATGAATGCACACATTAAATGTGGATGTAAAATAATCTTCTCGACACTTTTTTTAGCATCTATTTTACGTTCATGTCAGACATTAAAAATCTTATGTATCCTATTGGTTCATGTTACCCGGCATATTCTCAATAGCCAATCGGCAGTTGAACCGCCCTAAAGTTGTGTACCACCTTAAAAATTTCTTTGGCCAATCAAAGTTCATG